TGGTGTGTGATGAGTGGTGTATGATGAGTGGTGTATGATGAGTGGTGGCTGAACAGCTGTTGAATGTCCGTAACACGGAAGTTTTGCACACTAAACTTCCTTTGATAAGTTGGTGTATCTAGATAGTAACCAGGCCGTTCATCCAAGTACAAGACGTTTAAAACACAGCTCATACATGGAGTGTTTGGAAAAGGCAGGCGTGTTGGCACGGTTGGAAGATCCAGGAATGTTTCCCCTTAGGCATCACTGCTTAAAACGAAGGCAGACGAAGGACGTCGTCGAGGGATTGCCGTCATTCGTCCGTGAAGAGGGTTTTAGAGTCACAGCCCAACAATTGATTGAATCGATGCTGGAATAATGAATCGTAATGAGTGGACTTGAATTGACCTACATTGACCCACCTCGATGCATCAAAGATGCTCCATACGAGGCGATACCTTTTTGGGGGAGCGAGGGGTGTGATGACTCCCAACTTCGTTTGACCTTGCGGTCAGCCACTCCATGTATCTGTATGCCATAGGACTGCCGCCCCAGCCAGACCCCCCAAACACACCACCCCTGGCCGTTTCTCGGCAGTCCGTCCTGGCAGTCTCATGGAGTGTTTGGGCAAGGTATCCTAGTTTGGACCCGCCGCCATCTTGGAAGGGTTTTTGACTTTATCCGCCTTCCGAGCCTTCCGTGACAGACAAGACCGGTACCGCCACGTCCGTGGACCGGCACCCCAACTCCATCCCAGACACGAGTCTAATGGGACTGAGTCATGTATTTACTTGCATTCACCCCTGTTCAACCACCTTACTTGTGTATACAATGGTCGACCTGGCGTCAAAGCAGATCCTCTGGATGCTCCTTTGGACACTTCTAGGGTATGGATTGGGTGTGTCTCATTACCTCTAACAGTTAACTAAACAATCACTATTTTAGAGATGGAAGGGCCTGCAACTGAACCAACCATCATCCACTGGGCCCAGGGAAAAGTCGTGGAACTGCCGAAGGTCTTTCGTGTGCACCGCCCCGGCGCCGAGGAAGCGACGCCGGCGCCGGAGCGATGCGGACGAGCCGTCCACGCTCGGCACTGACGGCGAGGACGAGCTGTTTGGAGCGCATCCGGAGGAAGACTCTTGGGAGCGGAATATCGATGGTTCGAGGTGAAGAAAGCGAATTCTTCTCCCAGACACTCTATGGGACTGCCATATATGCCTACATTGGGGTGGTTTGGGGGGTCAATGTAGGCATATATGGCATACATGGAGTGTCTGGGTCTCAGACTCTTGAGGTAGATCCATCCCTTCCCCATTGCGATATGGGGAGATGGGGAGATGGTCATGAATCATCGCCGCACATGGTCCGTTGTCATGCATGACCAGCACGCGCCAATCATAGACAGAGGTGAAACCGGTGAAACCACAGTGGTACGTATACTATATATGTATAGAGGTGAAGCAGGAGGTTCTTGGAGTGTATGTAGGAGTGTGTGTAGACACAGAAACAACTGAAGAGTGACAACTTAAGGTGAAGCCTCTTTTTGGCTCTGAGGCTCTTGGAGAGTATGTAGACAACTTGCAGGTCATTGGAGGTTGTGACAGGAATTGCTGGTCGCTTTTCGCAGCTGGGAATCCCCTTTGTTGTGGCGAGGCGAGCAACCTTTGGACAAGTTGGAAACTCAAAACTAACTGAACGGTACTTGTGGGCGAAATCATTGGAGGAGGTCTCCTAAAAGGATGGTCCTGGTATAGTTGTTTTTCTTCGATGATTTCGGAGGAAGTCCTCAAAGGCGGAGAAACTGTTTATCCCAAAACTCGTCAGTTTACATCTGAGGAACGCGAAATACGCTTTCCCACTGTGGAGCAGCAAATGGCCTTTGAGAAGCTTTGTCGTGACCCGTTCCGCGATGGATGTCCTTTTCGATTCTGTTCAAAACCATGCCCCAGACAGGACCTGTTTTGATTTGTTTGGGACTGGAATCTTTTGCTATATATTCCCAGACCATCCGTGGGAGGTGCCCTTTTGAACTACCTTGGGGTGCGAGCTACAGAGTGCACCTGGGGTGCTACGCATCGATTCCAGTCCCATTCATCTGGTGCCTTCCACCACCTCGTCGGCCACATCGGCCACTCATGGGCCACCACTCGGGGCGCGCTGTGCCTGTCGGGGGCGTGCGCAAGAACCACCCTCATGGGGCGTCCGCTGATCGGATCGGAAAAGGGCAACTGCATGGCTTGGACCGACCCGGTGCAGAGTCCCTGTGCAGAATCCCCTAAAAAACGACCAGCCCGCCGTTTTCACGGCGGGAGACGGTGGGAAAACCAGACAACTCACCGGTGGTTTCTGTTCACCGAGCGGATCTTCGGTGGAGACCATATATGTGTCCAAAAAGAACGGGTTTGGGTCGCTGCTTGGGTGGGATTAGGGTCGCCTTCGGGTCAGAGGAGATCGGAAATGCTCTTGCACGTCGAAGGTCCGACTCTTTGGCGCCACCAAAGTGTTCAGGTCCAACTCCTGGTTGGGGCATCGGTCGGAACCCGCCAGACTGCTTCGACCCGCTTCGAAAGGGACCGTGTAAGGCAAGCTTGGACAGCTGGTACACTCTGAGCCCTCTCACATCCTCTCACATGGAAGTGGACAATGACCCCTTGGATGACGACTTTCCTGTCAAAGCAGGGGTTTTCCATCCACTTCCATGACGGTGTGTCAGAGTGTAAGCATTCCTGGGTTTGGTCAATGGCTGTGCATGAATCTACCGTATAATATAAACCTATTTACTTATTATGAGTTCTTTCTTTTTCCCCATGTGACAGCGTGAGGTCCAAGGCTAGAACCATCATGAGCACCAGTACTAATCAGAGGTGAAAGCCGTAAGCCTCCCCCACCAAAGATCGAGTATGAGAGGCTGGCAGGTGAGCTACCACCAATGCCACCACCCTGGAAGCCCGGCGATGGGCCACCAATGTGCCTGGCCGGTGCCCGTGACCGGCGCTGCTGAGGCGAGGATGAGGAGAGGCGCGGCGGGCGAACTCCGTTTTGGCTTCGTTTTTGCTCCTGTGTGGGAGTCGATGGTCGCAAAGCAGGATGCTCAAGCATGCCTGAGAAGGTCTGATTCTTTTGCTTTTTTTTCTAGTGGATTGAGAGGTTTAACCTGGCACAGACCTCCAATGGGTGGTGAACTGAAGCCCCATGTAGGTCTAAGATCTTGAGGGGAACGTGCCATCACACCTCTGAAGCCACTGGAATTACCCGTTGGTGACAGAATGATTATCCTCTGAAACCACTGCCGGCTGGATCTTGTGGCAAGATGTTTGCTCTTCCTAGCCAATCAGGGCGCAGGGTATTTCTATCAGAAACCAATGCAGATCTTAGTTTCAAGCAGAGCAAGGGCACATGATCCCTCATGTTCAACTGACAGTCCCATTCAAATTGACATGCTGAATCCATGGGGAATCGACTCTCGGAGATCCCTTCTAACCACGAATCGCTGCAATTTGAAATACAGTGCTGTTCGCGTTCCAAAAGGGCTGCTCAACTGTTCGGTGAAATCGGGGTGCCCTAAGGGCACCTCCACTCACTTGGATGGGAATCCAATCAAACACCCCTAGCCTTGTGACTCCTTGGTGCTTGACTGGCCTTCATAACGAAACCGGAAAGCCTGGAGAGGCCTGGAGCCCTGGATCCAGATCCATTGCCCAATGAGTTCATACCTGCACCATCCTGGACCTGGGTGTCCTGTCAGAGTCGATCCCAGAACGTGGGCTGGGAGATCTCCAGGACACCCAGGTCCAGGATGGTCCGTGAATTCACACGCAACGTACTTTGGTTTGACGGTCTAACCATGCACTTCGGTCGACTTCGGTCTTGTGTTCATGCCAATGCATGCACGCCTTGTATAATAGAACTCGTCTCTATAGACACCGAGGAAATCACCCAGACGCTCCGTGAAAACAGCCCGACGGGTCCCTCAAAACCAAAGAATTTGAGGGTCCGGACCCCTGACCCACGGATTTGGGGTCGAACGGGTTGCGTCAGGACAGGGCAGGACACACACTCACTCAGCACTTGATTGTTTCCATCTCCCCAAGCCATCCCAAGCATTCCATATATGACTGGCATCTTATGCCGCCCCACTGAACAACCACACATACCCACACGCCTGCTCGGGTTCCGATGGTTGAGTCCCTATTTGTTTGGGTCTGGGCATTGTCGAGTCCCACGGCAGCAAAAAGCCATCCCAGTACCCAGACACGACTGCCTTCAAAACGGCCAGACGCGGTGGTGCGTTTGGGGGTCTGTCTGGGGCGGCAGTCCGTCCTGGCAGTCCCACACAGGTCGTGTCTGGGATATGCATCACCCACACGCGGACCCGAATCCTCTGGAGACCTTCGCTCCCGTGAATCCTGACTGTCTGGGGTCTGGGATATATCCCAGTCGTCCTGCTCGGGTTTCCGTCTGCCCTGGTCAGCGTGGTACCTAAGTAGACTGGTCGACAGGTTCCAAAGCGAACAACTGGAAAGGGGGTCGATGTTGTTTTGAGCTTCCAAGTGCCACCCCCCACTGGACTTGATGACCGATGATGAGCGACAAAGTGGTGATCTTTTTGTTTGGACAAGCGTGCCACCAGACAGGACTAGAGGTACTCGAGTGATTTGAACATGATCGTACTATAGGAGGTATACGACAATCATGGCCCGCGTATACATGAAGTTCACTTCCCAAATTCGCCTAACGCGGTCGTTGCCAAGAGAGGTTAAGTGACCTTACATAGGACCTGTCACCTGGGGTACCCAACTGGGATATGCGAACTACATCGAACTACTAGTAGGGTCCTTCAACCTCTGAGTCTGTTTGTTCTGGGGCGGCTATGGTCACCGTCTTGGACTGGTCTTTGACCGTCGCGGCTCGCGCTCGCCGCGGGGAGCGGTCGCGTCGCCGCGTCCTGCCGGTCCAGGCGCGCCGCGGCGCGCCGCGCCGCGACGGTCAAAGAGGTGAGGATTCGAGCGGCACTGCACCGCCGCCTGGCAAGAAGGGGGCGCAGGAGCGCGTTTTTTGGGGAAGAAGGGTCCACGGGTGTTTTTTGTGTGTGTTTTTTTTGTTTTCGCGCTCGGTTTGCTGTTCCAACGTTTTTGATGATGTTTGCTCACCATGGGTTTGGAATCTGTTGACTTTCTGGCTTTCAGAGGTCAGTGACCGCAGGCACATACTTTGTTGATCTTTGCTGGAAGAAAAATCCCAGACAGATCCGTTAACAGGTAGATGGTGCACCAGTACAAGTACTGTGTTAGAACCATCCGGAACCAACAACTATCATGAGCCAACAAATATCTAAACAGCGTCATGCCGCTTCATGGCTGTAAGTAGAGTTCCATCCACAAGTAGAACCACCAACAGGGATTCCTGTGAATGATCCAATGGCCGAGTATGGCCAAGCAATGGCCAAGTATGATCCAGCAAACGCAGAGAAAGTATTAGGGAGGTCAGGGGCATTTCAGTGGCTTTAGTTCATCTTAGCACCGCATCACATCCAGCACCGCTGCATGATGTGAAAGATGTCCATGTCTTTCACAAGCCCTGCCACACAGGTAATCAAACTTAGCAAAATCAGCCCGTATTCAAGATTCTGCCCGAGGGCAGTTTTTCTGCCCGAACCCAGGTTCAGGCTGGAGAAGTGACTTCAGGCTGAAAATAGCACCTTTAGGAAGACGCAGGTGTATATATATGCCATAATGTGTATCATATTATTTACATACAGATACATATATCCCAGACACTCCATGGGACTGCCATATATGCCGCCCCATTGACCCCCATGGCACCACCCCTGGCCTGATCAGCAGTCCTATGGCAGTCCCATGGGTCGTGTCTGGGTCTATGACCCCTATATAAAGGCGCCGAGAACCCAGGAAGTACGTGGATCATCTGCCCAAACGTTAAGGGTGAGTGGGGCCATCCTGCCAGACGAACTGGAATTTTTTGGGTTCACCCAGGTGGGGCCGGAACCAGACACCCGCAATGACGATGGCGGTGATCGAGATGAAGACGTGAACCAGGGGGCAGTGATCCCAGGATTCACCCAGTTACTGCATGGGTGCAGAATCCACAGAGCAACGCGGGTGAAATGGCGGAACCTTCGGTGTTTTTGGGATGCGACGGAATCGTCGGATCAGATGGGTCTAAGGCTTGGAATGCACTTGGACCAGATGCACGAAAAAAGTGACCTGGTGAATGTTGTGTTTTCAATCGGTGGAACTTGCACCCGGGTGCCAACTTGAGACCTTTTACAATTAAGACCTGGTTAGAAGCCCAACAACCCTTCTGGAGGAGGCCTGTTGGAGGGTGGTTGTAGTACGTTGTTCTTTCTTTCTTTTTGACCGTGTTTTTTGTGTGTTCTTTTGTGGGAAATCACTCCATGGAGAGGAACGGTTCCATGCCAAAACTGTTCATACAGTCCAGTTTCAGTGTCGGCGAGTCCCGTGTGCTGAAAAAGGAATCGCCCCATGCCTCGCCCAACGGTTGTGCGAAAAGGGCTTCATTGCGATCCCTATAGGGCTGCAAGTAGCTCCGCTTCGCTTCGATGGTTCGGGTGGCCGGTTGGGGGGCGTCGTGTCCACCGATGGGCCGTTGGGATCTCAATGACCCCTCCCCTCACGCAGTCCGGAAGCCAGTGGTTGAGAAACGGGGGTCGTTGGGGCCAGCGTCCACGAAAAAGGGGAGCACCGGGCATCAAGCAGTAAGAACTCGCGGCCTTTCCGGACTCGCGGGTTCTGTTACTGTCTTGTGGATCTCCAAACAGCGCACCCCGAAATGACTGTCCAGGGATGAGCAAGGATGTCGTCCGACATCGGCAGCCTTTGGGCAGCTGTTTCATGCGACATTCGCGGCGACACCTGCAGGTGACATTGAAGGTCCGTGAGCTTTGTGAGAAACTGGAGCAGCGTCAGAAACCTGGCTGCCAGCTTCCCAAACACTCCATGGGACTGCCAGGACGGACTGCCGCCCCAGCCAGACCTACCTGGCACCCACCACCCCTGGCCGGAACTTGAAGGCAGTCCGTCCTGGCAGTCCCAGACAGGTCGTGCCTGGGTATCCGTCAGTGGATACTGGTCACGTTCCCGAATCATGGGCCCCAATGATCCAGATCGACGTTCATCCCAAACAGATCGGCCGAAGGAACCGGATCCGAGCCGTTCGGATAGAGCGTGGAACGTCGGCGGGCTGGGCTCGGAACGCTAGGCTTCTCGGGCTGTTGCAGAAAAGATGGTTCTTTTCACTGAGTGTGACATAGCCCGGTGATTTTGGTGGAGTTTCCCAGTGATCTGTTCTCCAAGGAAAGCTCGAGCGGAGGAGATGCGGAGACTGGGTTTGACCCCAGAGTTCCTACAGCAGTTGAACCTGGAAAAGGAAGAAGCTGGCGTAAAGCCCTAGCAGCCCGTTTTGAGCCACTGATTTGGAATGATGATGACCGATGACCGAAGATAGTAGGTGTGTGGTGCCATCTACTCCGAACATCTCTGAACCGCTTTGCAAGATGGTTTTGATTCCAACTTTGCACATGGAGTGCTTAGTAGATGACACCAACATACACCAGCAAGTTGCTCCAAAAGAAGCACTTATCCAGACGCGACCCCGTGAGTTCACAGCCCGACGTCTGGTCCCTCAAAACCTGGGATTGGTGAGAAACCCCACATCCCCTTCGACCCGGAGGATTCGGAAACCGACCCCGGGTCGCGTCTGGGTAAGAAGTTTGCGTCCTCGGATCAACTCTCCGGTTGCCGGAACTTCTCCAGATCGACTCGGGCGCCAAAGATCGCGGCCGCATCGCATCTGCGAAAGAGAGCTCCGAAGCAAAAGGAAGCGACCGACCGACCGACCCGATTTGTCTTGGGTGGCGCAGAGGGAGCCTCGCTTGGGTTTGAAAAGGCGGTCGCCTTCGGAGGACGGAACCAATTAAAGGAAAACATCGTCCCATGACACGACCTGGTTGGGACTGCCATATATGCCTACATTGACCCCCCAGACCACCACCTGGCCGTTTCTCGGCAGTCCGTCCTGGCAGTCCCATTAGTCGGTCGTGTCTGGGACGAGGTTTTTCCATCCTTCCAGTCGCCCCGTGCGGACCGGTTCACCGTTGAACGTTTCAGCCAGAGTCACTCAGATCGAGATCCGTCCTAATGGAGATCCGGATCGACTGGGCGACTGGGTCTCGCAGTCAGAAGCGCTTCCCTGTGCTTTTGGATGGACTGGACAGGGGGTCTCTCTACTACCTGGAGGTCGAGGTTTGTCATATTTTGCTCTTACCTGAGAAGGTATGTGGGTACAGTTGGTACAGTGTGGTTATAGTGTGGTTACAGTGGTCCCTGGACCCACACGGTTCGTACTCCTAAGACTGGTGCCCCTGCCTGTCGCCGTCGCTTGTTGCTTTTCTTCGGGTCAGACTGTCCCATGTTCGTGATCGACGTTGGGCTGCAGCTTCAAACAGAACGGCGGAACTTCAGTAGCAAGAAGCTACTCGTAGCGATGCACTTGTTACTAGTTGCCCTTGCTAACTAGCGATGCCCTTGCTACTACACCCCAGCCACGCCATCGACCGAAGAACATGAAAGAACGTCCCAAAAAGATCCCCAACATCGACCAGGAGTCGAGCTGCTGTTTGGATAGTTGTCCGGGTAGGGATTTGAGGGTCCGGACCCTTCCATATATGAGGGTCCGGCCCCTACTGAACGCAGGGTCCAGGGTCGCGTCTGGGCACATAGAATCCCCTATACAGGTTAGGACATTTAGATTTATTGGGAGTGTCTCATACCAAAAAACACGACCAGATTTTGGAGGTGTTCAAGACCTTTCACTGGGTCAGGATGTCGTCCCGGGGTGGCTGTATCCACTGACGCCCACATCTCGATCTCTCAACTGCCCTTTCAGAAGCCAACTCCAAGTGATATGGGGCACCCCCAAAGCTCCATCAGTTCCTGCTGGGGGATCCCAGCCCTGACCCACCCACCCACCCGTGGAGCTCTCCCGCTCTTGCGCACACGCTCCGATGCCATGGAGAGAACGCTGTTGCCCAACACGAGCAGAGCGGAGGTGGCCATGGTGTTACAGACAAGCTGCCAGCAGTCACGTTCGACGGGGTGGTGTGGCTCGTCCCATCCAGTGAGTGGATGTGACGTCGGGGCACCCCGACTACCTCCATTATATAAGCACCCCGTCGAACGTGACTGCTGGTGGGCGAGTGTGGTGTTCGAGAACGCAAGGTTCTTCTTCTCAGGAGTCCAAATAAGCCAGCATGTTGTTGAGACACATCTCAGTGCTCAGTTCAGAGACTGGCTATACTCAACATGGACAAGTTCGGCTTCACTGGTCCAAATCAACTGAGTTTGAACGGAACGGAACGTGTCCAACCGGCCACCGGGTTCCGGAAAAGGCAGTCGCCATTCGAAGAACAAGCCAAGTCGGAACTCAATGACTCGACCTGTTTGGGACTGACACGACCTGTTTGGGACTGCCATGACCGGAGTGCCTTCAAAACCGGGGTGGTGCGAAGTCTGTGTCTGTCTGTATTGGCACCCCAGTCCGTCCCAGAGAGGTCGTGTCCTGGCAGTCCAAAACCGGATCCCACGGATCCTCCCGTCACGACGACCCGAAGCCCGGGACCGAAAGGCGCCGCGTATACACCCGTGGAGACAACACATCATGTACCTGAGGTTTGGGACCCTCCTGGATCCCCAAAGAATAGCAACTAGATCGGTCATCAGCCCAATCAGCTGAATCACTGGGTGTCAAATGCCTCAAAGACAGAGGGCACGTCTCAGTCCGACGGCCGAGGCCGGGGTTTTACAATCCGAATCATCACGTGGATGGCATGGCTAAAGAAAGAACCTTTTCGTCTACACCATGTGCTTTTTTCCACAAGATCGTTCCAGGGAACTGTGGAAATGTACCAAGTTTGGGTCTGACCTCCTCCCCTACCCGGTACCCTCCGCTCAAGCAGTACGCTCGCAACTCCAGCACGGCGCTTTTCGCGACCGGCACCGAGTGCGTTCGAAAGACGCGTAGGTACCGGTGGCAGATCTTACAGACCTGGCCCCTGCCACTCGTCCGTAGAGGTCGACCTCCGCGTTCCCGAAATCCACCGCGTTCCATTACTCGACGTGGCCGGAAGAAGGGGCCCTGTAGACCAAGCCAGTTTTGGGAACCACATGGACACCATGAACCATACTAATGTACCAGGATCATCCAGTGAGTGTCCAATAGACTACTTACAGGTCTCCATTGGGCACCCATTGGAAGTGCTAGGTACTTAAAAAATCTGTTGAAATCTTTCCCTGACCGCGAGCAATGGGACTGCCGACATGACTGGTGTGTGTGTGTGTTCTTTCTTTTTCCGATGTGTAGAAGGTGGTTTTCATGTAGACCAATGCAATGCAAGAGGAAGGGGGGTGTTGTGGTTGTTTTTGTTGTTGTTGCTGCTGTGGTCGTGATTGTGGTTGTGGTTGTGATTGTCGTTGTCGTTGTCGTTGTGGTTGTGGTTGCAGTTGTGGTAGTCGCAGTCGCAGTCGCAGTCGTAGTAGTAGTAGTCGTCGTCGTCGTGGTGGTGGTGGTGGTGGTAGTGGTGGTGGTAGTGGTAGTGGTAGTCGTAGTAGTAGTAGTAGTAGTAGTTGTTGTTGTTGTAGTTGTAGTTGTAGTAGTTGTAGTAGTTGTTGTTGTAGTTAGTAGTTAGTTGTAATTAGTTGGTGCTGTTGTTGTTGTAGTAAGTTGTAGTGGTAAGTTGTAGTGGTAAGTTGTGGTGGTAAGTTGTAGTAGTAAGTTGTTGTTGTTGTTGTTGTTGTTGTTGTCGTCGTCGTTGTTGTTGTTGTTGTTGTTGTGGTTCTGGTTCTGGTTCTGGTTCTGGTTCTGGTGGTCGTCGTGGTGGTGGTGGTGGTGGTGGTTGCTGTTACCAGAAACAGAACATGCAAATAATGCAAGGTAACTTGGGTGGCATATCCCACACCTTGGGGCCATCTTTAGCAAATGGAAGTA